GTGCGACTCGTCCAGTGATGCGGGGCCCTGGGAGGTCACCGCAATGTCGGGAGAGGTAGAATCGACGTCCGAGTCATCGGAGTCTGCGCCGTAGTATGGAGGGGCCGAAGAAGAAGACTCCACTGGCGAAGCGGACCAGCTGCTTTCATCCCGGGGTACCGGGGACGTGCGCCTTGGATCCAGAGGCAGTGGGCGATCACGAGAGCGTGGTGGGGACCGATCCCTCAGTGTGGGATAGTACCAGTTAAGTATGGCTCGCCCCAAGATGGGTAGTAGGAGCGACGCCAGTCCTCGAATCGCTTGGATCGCTGCTCCCTGGAGCGGCTCTGGCGGGCCCTGGGTGGGGATTCGACCACATCCGCCTCCAGTGTGGCCATGGGCATAGGCGTTGGTGACCTAGCCCTGGGGGGAGAGTCCTGAATCTCTCCGTCAGAGATCGAGCCCCGCTGGAGAGATGGAAGCGGTTCGGTCGGGGGGTCAGCCACATGATGGGGAGACCCTTGAGGGGTAACCCTCATGGCTGCCTGGAGCGCCGGCTTAGGTGGGGTCAGTATGGTGGTTGGCGCCGGTACCGATGCTGCCGTCAAACCCAAGACACGGTGTCGGGGTCGGTCCGGATCCTTCACCTTTCGGGCCGGCTTAGAGGGCTTCTCTTTCCTGGCCTTTTTGGCCGATTTGTCGGCATCGGCGTGCTTGCGCTTCTCGCTTTTCTTTTTGGGAGAAGCTGGTGGGGCTCTCAAAGTAGAGGCACCTTCATCCGACGGGCGGAAGGGCAGGACCACCGCAGCCGGGCCAGGCTTTGGAGCGACGACCAGTGGGTCGGACTGCATAAGAGCCCGATCCCACAGGAGCCGCCAGAGGCGGTTCTCCCAATTTTTTCTGGCCTGCTTGGAGAAGGCCAGACAGTGGGAGCACATGTAGGTCCTATGCCCCTCCCCCAAGCAGAGGAGGCATAGGTCGTGCGGGTCAGATGGTGACATATTCGACCCGCACTCCACACATTTGCGGAAGGCCGCTTGCTGAGCCATCGCAAGAAGAAGAAGAAAAAGAGAGACAGTGCAGAGGGTAAGAATATATTTTTGGGTTTTTTGTTTTTTTTAGAAGAAAATAGAACGGTAGAACGATAGAACTGCAGAATAACTAGAGCTAAGAAGAACTGTAGAAATAACTAGAGCTAACAAGAACTATCAGGGATATAAAACTGGGAGTAAAAGGAGAAAAAACAGGCTACGAGTAACGATCAAAGCGATAGTCGAAAGCGGCACGAGGCACAGTGAACGGCGGTCGCAAAGACTGAACAAAATGGCGGACGCTCCGCTCTTTATAGGCCGTGGGGGAGGGGGAGCGGAGCTTTTCCCGCCAAAATAAACCGTTAGCTTGTAATCTTCCGGCCAAAGGCACTTCGTAGGCACAGCACCCATATGTGTGATGCACAGAGGCCATGACGAAGAACAACACAAATGCTACAGGGTAGTAGTGATTAACTGTCTTGAATTGTCATTGTTTTCTCTGATGCCTCATTCATACTTCATGAGCCAATATGTCCCACTAGATGTTTCAGTCCAGATGCTACTCTCTCAGCAACTTTACCTACAACTGATTCAGTCCCAATAATCACTGTTATTAAAATTATCAATAAGCCAATAATGTCACACTTTATTACAGAAGGGATTATTATATATGACATATGCCTCAGTGAAAAAGGCCAGTTGTGTATTTATAAGCTGCTTAAAAGTGAAGCATAAACATACTGGGTTTATGAAAGATTGAAGTTTAGCATGGGAATCTTTTACTTATCCTTCATTTCCTGATGGGTAGAATTTGTTCTAGAGGTGCTCCAAATAACTGAGAAAGTAAAGCCAAAAGAAGTTGCAGCAAACACCAAGCCTGGGCTGGGCCTTTGCCAGTCTCGGCATTGCTTCCAGATCCACAAGGTGTCATGCTTCAGGGAACAAGGATGTACAGCCACAATCATTTCCCATAGATGATCAGCTCCTCTAAGTTCCAGGAATGTATCTGGACAAACCTGATCTACTTGTTTTTTTGTTTAGTTTTGTTCAAGCTGCGCTATCCTCAGCATTCTACTTCTGTTAATCTTGGCATGCCCACAGGTATCAAGAGAAGATCTTCTTAAAAAATGAATCTCAACTGTGCTAATCTTTCTTCTAAAAGGATTATTTAAAAACAGGGTGTGTGGAAGCTCTTTAGTGCAAGGGCCGGTTTCAATTTTGAAAGAAGCTCTCTGAGCCGAAGGCAAAAATTTGTATGTTGGCAAGAGGGGGCACCCAAAAGCAAAAGCGATAAGGACAAAATTACCAGCACATTTCAGCTTAAAGCTCTTGCTGCCAGCAACCCTTGGGAGAGGTAATTCAACCCTTTGGAGGAGGCTGCAATGCCAGGGCAGCCAAGATCAAGGATAAGATGGAGCCTAACACAGTATTATGGGAGATATTAGAGATGTAACAGCACATCCAATTAAGCATCTTCTCTACTGAGATTATCTCAAGTGAACCTCATCATAGTAACCTTTGATATATGTCTCTGAAATCAACCAGCTGTTGTCTAGAAAACTTGGCTATTGAGCAGTAAAGAAATAACATTTATAACAATACTACCCACTCTGAGCCAGTATGTCCTAGTAGATGCTCAAACCAAAGAACCATTAAGAGCCTTTTCAAGGAACCATTTCATTGTACAGTGCCAGAATCAGTGTAAGTGGACAATGCACTAGGGCTGGAGCCCTGATTCTTTCATTCAGAGCCCCAAATCTCTGGGAGGCCATCTGTCCCACCATCTTGTTGCCAAGGCACTTGCTGAAATAAAGGTACAGGGTTCCTGATTATCTCTGATCCCCCTGGATTAGTTGGCTGTTTGTCCTCATGTGGCTCCCCTCCTGCTGATCCCTTCAATTCTTCTACCTGAGGGTTTTGTGGGAGAGAAGCCAATGCTCTCCTCTCCCCTTTTCACAAATAGGTGTGTCCTTATAATGACAGGTTCCTTAAAGATACACACAGATTTTAGAACATATGCAAATTTGTTATCCACCCCCACCCCGGGCCTTTGCCCTGGATTGTTTGGGTACCTACCAGCATCTTTGTGTAATAAAAATGTGTAGTTATGACTCAGTTTTCATGTTAGATGGGCGGGCCTCTTAATTCTCCTTTTGCAACAATGAGCATCTCCTGCTTTCGTAAACTAATCCCTAGGTAGCTTCCGATGCCTTTGAGAGAATGCTGTGTCATAATGTTCATGTTAACACCTCCACCCTGAATGGTCGCACCAGACAGAGAGCTTTGCTAGGAGCATGCTGACAAAAGCATTCCTATCATTTTAAGCAAAGATTGTCCTAAGTGTGCTTACCACAAAATTCCAGTTTGCACATAGTGGGGAGACTTTTGCAAGTAAAGCTGCCTAGGACTGGGAGATATGTCTTCCATCTTTGATTCTTTTAGAGCTTTTTCTGAACATTTCTAGAGAAAGAATGGCAAGTACCACAATGGAGCAATCATCTTTCAGCAAGCAAGTCAACTGGAACAAATTCTTTTGGAACATTGTTAGAGAGGGACAGAAACCACTTTGAAGAATGGCAGTGGGGAGACTATCTTCTCATTCGATATTTGGTAGTCAGCCATAGATATGAAGTCCCCACATGGTACAGTATTGGTGTAGGGAGACTTAGGCCCTCTAGAGGTTGTTAGCCCCAACTCCCACCACCCCGGTGCAGCGGTCTGGATCCCTGCTCACTTATGATGTTCCTATAGAGATCTTGGACCAGTCACACTCTGTCAGCTTAATGTATTTCATAAGATTGTGATAAGGAGATAAGAAATCATGAGTTCCACAGATGAACAGTGGGAGACAAAACTAAGATTTTTTTTTTCATTTATTACCACTGATGTGGCAATGTGTAAAAAAACAGGCTGAGGGAAGATACGATTCTACGAGTACTTGAAAGGCTGTCACAAAAAGGTCAGGATCTCTTCTTGATCATCCCAGAGTGGAGGACATGGAATAACAAGCTCAAGTCACACCAAGCCAGATTCTGGGCAGGTATCAGGAAAAAAACTCCTGTTAGAGCAGTAGGACAATGGAGCAAATTAGCTGGGGAGGTTATTGTCTCTCCCACACGAGACATATTCAAGATGCAACTGCACAGCCATCTGAGAGGGATAGTTTAATCTGGAACCCTGCACTGAGCAGGGGATTGGACCTGCTGGCCCCTTCCAACTGTACTATCGTATGATTCCATGCAAGCGTGGGCGCTTTGAAAGTCACAATTCTTGGTAAATATACAGAAACAGCACTGAAAAGATAATTTGGCTACCATTTCTATGTATTTTGCTAATCCAAATAAATGTGTGCCTTTTAACAGATTTATGGTATGTAAAATTGTGTACTGTTCTTAAGTAGTTTTGCCAACACCGGTTATTTCCTGTCTTTCTAAATATCAGTTCAGTGTTATGTACTATGTATAGGCCATGGGGAGGATGCAGGATGCAGCTTTTCATACTCAGAATTTGATGACTTCCTCAATCATTAACATCCTCATTTAAAACAGTGAAGCGTGCTTACTAGAATGCTCAGTTTTTAACAAGAGTGAACATTTAAACACATCTTGCCTCTCATTTTCTACTTAAAGCCACATTCTACTGTAAACACATATTGAACTAATTGTTGAATATATATAGCCATATAGCTACCACTTGTATCCTTGGTCACTTTAGGTGTGTTCAGTCCTTTGTTCTTTGCCTTGTCACATATTGAAAGTTATGCCACCTCTGCTATGTAGCAGAAATAATTGGAAGGTGTAAGATGCTATGCTGCTAAAGCTATATAGATCTACCATGTACAATTTCTATAGGGCTAGGAATTGCCCACAAGCCACACAAATTCCTCAAGAGGCAGAAGTTTGACAATGCACTTAGTGTTGATATATTCCTTGTGGACCCAGAGCAACCTCCTATTATTCCAACAGCCAATAACACAGAGAACTTTTAGAAGTGTTACACATCTGTTTTATTATTAAATACAACTTTTTTAAATAGACATATTAACAGCTTTTTAAAAAGTCTTTCATATAAAATAATCCAATGTTTGAAAAAATATATATATAAAAAAGAACACAGTCTGAACCAGAATTGTATCTTTTAAAAGGCTCTTCTCTCCATTGGTTTCTCCTATATATATTAAAAAGAGGGCAAGGGAAGAATCTGTCCTTAATACCTAAATATTACTGTGCCAGCAAGTAAGTGCTCAGATGGAGCATACTCAACTGCTGCATTTAACCACCACCACCATGGCTTCAGGGTGCTAGATTAACAGAAATTGATCTTCATTCAGTCCAAGTCAGAAGCTATTCCTGTGTTATGGCTCATTGACCTGTATAATCTTGCTAACACCTAGACCTCCAGCCTCCACAATCACTGCTGCTGAGAACAGAAGGCGTTTGCCAGCCTCTGGAAAGGTGGACAAGTTCTCTGTGAAATATAGCAGCTAAACTGGGGAGGGAGGAAAAGAGGTAGCAGGTAACATTTCCCTCAAGGTCAATAGTCCCTTCCGGCAACATGAGGCAAAGGGAACCTAGACAAATTCTACAGGGATTACTGAATTGGCAAGATCAACACCAGACTGTGAATCCTGCCCAAAGGACCAGCCAGCTGAATGGTTTAGGATATTGCAGCCACACTATAAAGCAGAGTATCATGGCATACTGAAGAGAAGGCTTATCAAAGGCCTTAGCAAACACGAGACCTGCTCTCATCAATGAAGCAATGTTCATGGCACTGGTTAGTGACAGCTCCCCACTTTCCTCCAGTATGACAACTGATCACAATTTAATCTGGTACATTCAAGCACAAATGGGAAAGGCACCTTCCTGAGGCCAGCTCAGGGTCATCATCACATGTCTGGCTACAATCAGGGAAGGACAAGGCAGGGAGGACAAAGCGTCAGACTGAGACAGAAGGGAAAGGGATGCATTGAGAAAAGGCATGTGATGGCAAGTCTACTCATCTAGACAAGCATACACATGCACGCTCCCCACAGCCTAGCTTCCAGATGTGGGGCTGGAATGTTCTCAGAGCATGGCAAGCAAACATTTACGCATTCATAGTGCAACAGCTTTGCTTTCTTCAGAACTAGACAATGGCGACTCCCTTGTTTGCTCTCTAGAGATCAGTTTCCACTACAACATGGAAAGATGAGCAACAGGGAGGGAGAAATTTTGGTTATTCCAGGGGAAAACCTCATTTACTGGCTCCTGTGTCTAAAGAGGCAAGCTTACAGGCTGCCAGAGCAGACCACAAGCAGGACATGAAAGTGATGGCACTTCCTTCTCTGAAGCTACTCCAGCAACTGGGACTTCAAAAACGGGGGCTCCATAAAGCCACCGATAGACCTGTCCTCCTCCATATGTGCCTAACCCAATTTCATAGCCAAACTACTGGCCATAACCATTTTGCATAGCAGTCTATTTCCAAAGTTGCATTGTATGAAGAAGTACTTCTTTTTGCCTATCCCACGGTTAAAATCAATTTTATTAGGTGACCCCAAATTCTAGCAAGCAATGAAGGATAAAAGTGGGTCCCGTGTTGTTATATGTTGGGGTTAAAAGACAGGTGCAGGGAGTAAAAAAGATGGAAGGCCACCAGGATAACATAGAGGAACATTCTGTTAACACACTAGCCTATTTAGGGAGTGAAGTGGTAACACGGGGGAGACTTGCAGAGGATAGATCTCCTTCCCACTTCAGCTATATGACACATGCAGCTTAAAAAGCAGGAAACAGAGGGACAAAGTGCCTGTTCTCTTTACAGCAACCACAGGTTGCTATAATCCGTATCATTAAGAAACTGATAAGCTGAGATCCTACTATCATCTGCAGTTCCAGGAGCTCTGAACATCGCAGCTGTTCAAACTGCAGATTCCACCTCCTCAAGGGACTCTCTGAAGAAGCCGTAGGCACAGTGGTTCCTAGTAGAAGCTTGTCCCCTACTATCAGAACAGGGGTTTTGAAATCCAAGTCAACTTCCAGCCAGTTTCCTTCCTGCTCATCAGGCATCAGCAAACTGGCAGAAACAGGGCAGGACAGCTTGCACTGGTGTGAAAGCCATCCTTCAGGGCCAGAAATGTCAATTTCCTGATGAATTTCTTTCCATCATTTAAAAAAAGGGGGGACAGAAAACAGTCCTCATGGGAAAATACTGCAACTTCTTCAATTCCCAGAGTCGTCTGTATGAACTTCTCCCAATAGTAGCAAGGAGGCCATAAAGCCCCAGAAAATTTCTCATCTCCAAGGGAAGGGTCAAGCTGGAAAACAAAGATGACAACCATCATAAAAATGCAGTACTTCAACAAAAGGATGACTTGAGGTGCAAGCCCCAAGTATAAACCAAGATATTTTATTTTACGCCAGCTCCGGCAAGTCTGCCAAGCCACATTTTTCTTTTTCTTACACCTTTCTTTCTCAAAGTGCCTTGCATGCCCCACACAGACAATGCCTGTATTCACACATAACACTAAGATGGCAAAGCATCTTACTTTGGGTCCTGGGTTCACACATTTATGTGCTTTCCATGCATGCATGGTTTCCATGCTTCGCTAACTCCTCTCCAAAGGGCAGCATGTATCCCATGAGCCCCTGTGGCTGAAAATCAGTCCCAGTATGTACCACTCCTACCTATGTCAGTGCCTCTTCCTCATTGGCCCAAATGCTCCCCTGGGCGTGAACTTAGCCAGAATCTTTCCTTTTCTGCTGTTTCATGAGCCAATTGTCTACTCATTAGAGTAGCCCTTGAGGAGCAACAGTGCTTTTGAGTGCTCCCTGCTCTGCACCAATGCGCAAGCACACCTGCCCACACCCACCTGTACCCCTTCCTTGCAGCACAGGTGCTCATGCTTGCGGCACAGGACTTGCTCATGCTGGCGGGGGCACCTCCCCACACTGCAGCCAGTCACATGGAGGGCATCAGTGCAGCCCCCCTGGCAGAAACGGAGGGGGCGTGTCTTGCTGGACGGAACTTCCCACCTGGGAAAGCGTTCCGGCAGACTCTTGAGACAGTGCATGTCCCAGGGGGGTGGGTGACAGTGGGGCTTCTTACAAGCCCTCAGGAAGGTTAGGGAGAAGGTAGGGAGAGCAGGACACAGCACAAGTGACCGGGACTTCTCAGGACAATCACCCTGATAGTGATGCCCAAGCACGGCCCACGTCCTCCTCTTGTGTAACGCTGCCTTCACAAGAGGAGACCACTGGCTCCCCGTGCAGGACAGCATGTAGCCATTTCAAAGTGCTGCTCCAGCAAAGTGCAGGGACCAGCCTGGAGCACCCAGTGTGCATGTCTCCAAGGTGAGTTTTAAGGATTAGGGTTAATCCTTAAAACTGGCAGCAGGTCATGTGTCTGCTCTCAAGTTTATTCGACACAAGGCTGACCCCTGACTTCACAACCGGTGCTCTTGTAAGAAAGCGGTAGCTCTTGCAGGGATCCTCCCTGCCCCAACATTAGGAATGCAATGCAAAAATTGATCCCTATCTGGCGCTGCCCTCCAGGACAAAGCCGCATTCCACAGCTTCTACTTAAATGTGCAGGAAACATGCCCCTGCACAGAAAAGAGGTAGCAGGTTGCATGTGCCCGGCGGCATTCAGCTGGCCGTTAAGGACAATAATGGATCATTGTGCCTAGACCCAAGAGCACAAGAGCCTAACAGAGGTTCATTTAGCCCAGAAGCCCATTTCAGTAGTAGTCACCAAGATTCACTGGGGAAAAGCACATGCTGGGCAGGAAGGCAAGAGCCCTGGCAGCCCTCTTTGTCCCCAACACCTGGTATTCAGAGGAGAGCTGCTCCCAAGCATGCAAGTTCGATGTCCACCAGACTGAGCGCACGCCCTCAGGTTCCCTCTTATTTCCCCTGCTGCCAAAAGCAGGGAAGCACCCACCTCCAAATATGCATTCTCTTCAGATCAAGTAGGACCATCTTACCTCATAGTTCCCCCTGGACCTGCATCTCCAGAAGTTCTCCCCTTTCATTTAGAGGTCTATTAAAAATAAAAAGGAAGGAACAAATATCTAGCATTACAATCAAGAACAGGAAGGATGATGCTGGACAACACCTGGACAGTATCTTCACCTCCCCACACTGGTGCCACTAGCGCTAGAGCACAGGGCACAGGCCTGGTTCCCTGTGGCTCAGAAGGGCCCCCAAGTGACTCTAACTCATGGTGCAACGCTGACTCCTGATATCCCACTGCCAAAAGAAAACCCCATAGAGGCATCAGTCCTGAGCTGCATATTTTAAAAATTAAATACTGTTCTTAACTTAGTTGGATTAAGCGCCTATTGTGGACTGCCTTTGAAGAACACTGATGCTCACGTGCTCATCAAGCTGAGTAAAGAAACATACTTTGATAGAAAACAGTGTAGCAGCAGCCTGCAGGCCTTTCTTTTGGCACTGGGACATGGGGAGCCATGGCTGAGGAGAAGGAGGAGGAGGGGAGGGTCAGGCCAGGCCAGGGGGAGGAGGGGGCGACAAAGTTTGTTGACTGGGCCTCCTTCAGTGTTGGCAACAGCTTGTTTCCCACTGCTGGAGGTCAGGTCCAATCACAAAGCAGTGCAGCCAAGAATTGCTATTGTGGTTTTGTTGTTTAAATTGATTTTTGGTTGTGCGTGCATGCTTTTTTCCCCTCTTTAAAAAAAAAAAACTCTTTCATTAACTGCCCAGAGCGCTATTGGGCAATTGAAAAATGAAATGAAATGAAAGAATGACTAGGAATTGCACTGTGTGAGGAACAGGACAAATACTGAAGCGTGAGACTCTGCAATGAGCTGTAGCCAGGAGAATGGGAAGACAGGCACTGATCATCTAAGAGAGACAAGGGGGATGCATAGACCTCCAGATACTGATGAGCTGTAACCAGTTTTCACTCATCATCGCTTACCACTGGGCATGCTGGCTAGAGCTAATAGGAGTTGCAGAGCAACATCTGGAAAGCCACTTGTTCCTCACCCCAAGCTAAAACCAGGAGGAGCCAATCAGAGAAGCCTGTACCATATCTGAGCCTCCCAACCTCCTAGCTTCTTACCTTCCTTCTTCTGCACTTTCCATAGTACTCTCATCCCTCTGCAGTTGCCTCCTTCCTGAAATCTGTGTAGAAGAAAGGAAACATTGAGTGGGATTTCACTGCCTGCACTATTTCAATGGTTGGCAATCAAGAGAGACTTTTCTCTGGGCCTTTTGCAAATGCTGTGGTGGTCCCAGGAGCAGTCACAGCAATGAACGGACAAGCCAAACACTGCCCCAGCAAGCACTTAACTGTGCTCCAGTTTTCCTGATACAAAGACATTCTGTATGGAAGGGCTTTGCTAAGGCCGTAGAGACTAGCGGGCTGTGTTTGTGACATCTGTTCAACAAGTTCTACCAGTTTCAGCCTAGGTCACTTTTAATACTTTGCCAATTGAAAATTAATTTTCTCTCACAAATTCTGGACCAATGTTCCCCAACCTGGCACTCTCTGGGTGTGCTGGACTACAATTCCCAGCCAGCTGTGCTGCCAGTTGAGAAGGCACCTGGTTGTGGAACGCTGCCCTGTGCTTACTCTCTTAAGAGCTCAGAAACTCTTCCTATAATTAAATAAACCACTACTCCCACCACCACTTCATTTATTACATTTTCGTACCACCAAATAGCTGAAGCTCTTTAGATTTTGTTCCCCTTATATGGGGGTAGGGTTTCACTACGTATGAATAGTGATTAAAAAAAAAAAACCCACCACCATCAATTGCAAAATGCTGTTCACCTGGAGGCATCGGAAAATCTTTTAGCATAAAAGACCAATAGAAAAAGACCAAGTGAACCCTCCAAATCCCCTGCAAGTAGCATCAGGGTCTAATCCTTTGGACACAGACTGCCAGTCAGCTCCATAAAACAGGAGATCAGGATTGGACCGAACAGTAAATGGTGTTCCAGTTCCAGATGCACAGTACCCAACCAAGTTATTTTGGCACCAGAGGCAAAAGCTCTTCCCCATCCTACCATTAAAAATATAGCAATTCATTTAAATCCCATTAATTACTTATGTATGACTAAGCCTGAAGCCAACCCAAATAGTAACTAATTTTTTGCCTTTTCATGATGGTCAAGATCTGCTGCCTGAGGCTGTGATTTCATTCTGCCTAATGAAGGATTAGGCAGAATTCTTGCCCTGCAAAAGATAAGCTCAATTTCTTCCCCCTTCCCACACAAGGTATCTTCTGCAGCGGAAAGGAATCAAGGATGCTGATGGGAGCACTATCCAGAATGTGAAGAGGCAGGCTTTCCCAGTAACATGAAGTATCTGAGTTTAGTGTAGCATAATTTGTAATATGCCATTATATATCCACTGGGTTCCTACCAGGAAAGGCATCCTGGCTTGGATGGCTTTGGCAATAGAAGGGAAGTTGTTTAGGGTTTGAGAATACATTTGGGATTTACAGATATGAGTGTGAGAATTCTCACAGGACTGAAGACTCTTCTGCTCATCATCACTCAACATCAGGGCAGTTGGCATTGATTTCAAACACAATGCTCTTCTTGCGAAGAACTCTCCCAAACTTTGGGGTGTGGAACCTAGGAAATGGCTCTATCTCATAACTGTAGCTCATTCTGGAGTATGGAGCAGCCCAAGCAATCTAAGTCAGAGCAACACTACAAAACATGTACCAGAAGACAAGATGCTCCTTAAGATTTAGATGGCTGGTCTTTACTACATCCCAGTGAAGACAAAAGTTGATGCCAGATAGTTGAGAACAAGCCATATGTGAGATGAACATCACTGGACAGTTTTGGCATGGCCTGAGAGGAAACACAGGGCAAGTTTTGCCTGTGCGTGGATAACTCGTATGCAACTGGGCAGGGAAAAGCACACTGCTAGGGCTGGGAGACAAAGACCATAAGGGAGAATAGTTTGTTAAGCCAGGACTGGTCCTTACCCTGGATCTATGCAAGTAGAACAGCAGGCCACCCACTGCCAACAGGATTCCCAAGACACTGGGCACCGTCACATAAGTCACAGTCATCCCTTGGGTATCTCTGTGTTCTGACTTCTTGATGTGCTTTTCTGTGTTCGGAGGAAGGAAACTCTGATCAAAGCTGGGCCCTGGCATGCTATCCTCCGGCTCCCTGCCCTTGGCCAGTCCCTCTTCTCTTTCTGCTCGCCTCTCGCGGAGCTGGGTGCTTTTCTGTACTCGTGGGGCTCTGCCTCTGCTGCCCTGCTCATCCCAGGAGCGCCTCCCTACAGGAGCGGATGATGAACTCTCTCTGGTGGCCACCAATCTAGGAGGATGTTGCACTGCAGAGACGGGGTCCTCAGAGCCAAGGCCATGGAAGAGGTCTGCGTCGCTAGGCAAGTGTGTTACCCAGCTGCCACTGGAGGGCACCCCTGAGCCATCCACTGGTTCCAATCTGGTAAAAGATGGCCGAGTCTGAGTTTGGCTGAATATGCCGCTTGTAACAGTTCTATCCGAATCAGATGCAAGTCCTGGAGTGGCCTCAGCAGTCCCTCTTGTCTGAAGCCACTGCTTATCGATGGAGGATCTAGCTACCGTGGAGAGAGGGGAATGCTGAGAAAGGAACTCACTGGGCCCTGTCTGGCTGCTGCCAGCTGCAGAACTAGAGGGAGGAGACTCGGTTTCCAAGGCGTCAGTGTGCTGCTGGCCAGAAGGGGAGGGAGGAACATTGCTGAGCGTGGAGTGCTGCATAATGGGTTGATCCAGGAGAAGTGCAGTGTTCGGGGGGGATAAGAGGGTAGATGCCTGTGACACAGTTGCCAATACTAGTCCTTCTGGTGGTGAGAGCAGAGAGGCATGGCTGTCAGCCCTGAAATTCATGCTTTCTGTGGCTCCTTGGCTTGCATGCGTGCTCCTAATCACCCTGGACCTGGTACTACCCTCTGACTCTCCTCGCATCTGTGTGGTGCCAGGCAGCTGGCGAGCCCTGGTAACTGTCGCCTTGCTGTCCAGCTGGTTTGCCATGGAAGAGAAGGACCCGAAGGCTGGAGGAAGAGAAGCAGAGCCTCCCCCATAGATGGGGCTTGTGGCTGGACACTTGCAATCCCGGTCAGTCACCACACCTGAAAGATCCAGATAAAGAGAGAAGGGCCATAGTGTAACCAGCCTCTTCAGGTGCAGGGGAAACCGAAAAAGGATGCTTCAGGCTCAGAGCAATCCCTGCCCTCAGACCACCATGCCAAGACCAGAGCTCAGCCTGGGCAGGCCAAAGCCCAAAGCGACAGGAGAAGCCAAAACTTAAAACTGGAACAAAGCAGAGGACATGAGGCAGCGAGCAGTCGGGCCCAAAAAGGCCTTCCAGAGGATGGATGGAGCAGGACACAGCAAGGTTAGCTAAAGGAAGCAATCTGCCAGGAGAACTCATGTAGACTAATATTGCTAGCCAAGCAGCAACACTGGAGACAAGACTGGACATCAGAGTTTAGCAGGGTAACAAATCAAAGCAAAGGTAAAACCAGCTTCAGTATTTTGAAGGCACACACTTCCACGAGAAGAGCAGCAGATAAACCATATGTCAGCACTAGAAGCAATAGATTAGGAACAGATCAAAGAAAGAACTAAGCCAGTTCTGCTTGGCTCTCCTTCCAGTGTCACAGGTGATGTCCATGCAGACAGGACATGGATGGGCACAGAAGACTCAGACAGTTCCTATAATCAGCAACCATGTTCTCCATATTGACACTACTCAGGACCACTCAGAGAAATGGAAGCTTCCTTGTGCCATGGGATGCTCAAAGAAGCCAAGCTAGCAAGTGATTTACCCTAGTTGTCAAGTACCCTTTACCTTAAAGGTGGACAGCAGCCCAGCCTGAATAACTCAATTCATTTTAGGTATGAGTATTTGCAAAGAAGAAAATTTTCACTTCTGTTGCATGGAGTTAGTAAGATTTCAAAGCCTTACAGAGTTTAAGGTTGAATTGAAGCACATACACATTTGTACATATGCATGTGCATACATACGTACGGCACCAAGACAAGAGACAAGGACATGAGATGCTTCTAAACTAGAATGCATTATCTTCTCACCTTATTCCTATCTTTGCAGTTCATTCCCCAACCCCACTTTGAGAGCCACAGATATGCATTTGCAAATCTCTGCTGGGTCAGTGATTCTAAGAATCTTCATTTCTGCAGGTACATGGTACCACTGTCACAACTTAAGGGATGTCCCAACACTTCCGTGTCTGAGCACAAGTACACAACACTACTATTTTAAGGAATAGAAAAGGTTGTCGGAGCACGGTCCATGAGCAGAGAGCTTCAGTATTAAGAGAGATCCTTGACATTCCTTCTCCACACGTTTTCAAGCTTCTCTCAAAACCATGGCAGAACAAATAGATTATGGGAGGATGACAAAAGAGTGGAGGCTAAAGCTGATCACTACAAAGTTGAGGGTAAGCCCTTGCCTATGGGGAAGAGCTACACTTCATCCTGCAGTGCAATGCTCAGGCCTTGGTATAATTTCTTGACATAAGCATAGTCAGTTTTACCCTTGCCTCAAACTAGGCAGCACAGATTTCCAGATATCTATTAACTTCTATCCTTGTACTTTAGTAGTACACACAGACATGGAAACATACACAGATGAATATTGCACACAAACATCAATGTGCACATACAGAAGCTAATGAATGCTTGGAATGCTTCATGTCGCTCACAAGCATGTTCCCCCAAGCTGTAACGCTGTCCCAGAGACTGCCTGGAGTTGCACATCCCAGAAATCTCTAGACAGTTACCTGGAGAGATGGTGTCCTTTTCCTGAGAGCCTGAGCACTTCTCAAAGATCCTGCTGCAGTCCTTGGTGAAATTTTTGTGGATCAGGAACTGGCTAGCTTCACTGAAGTAGTCATGCACCCATTCCAGGGTCTCCTGTGGAGTCAGGAAGCCATTCTTGACACATTGCTTGGAGAGCTAAGGAGAGAGCAGACAAAAAGTAATGCTCGGCATCTATCAAGAGGTCCTATCGCTGAAATATCTGAAGGCAGTGTATGCAGTGAGAGGCAATCACTATGGCTGAGCTGAGCAAGGCTGCTGTGCCTAGAGCAGCAGATTTCTACATCTCCAGAAACCAGGGCTGTTCACTGGAATCTCAGGGCTGGCTTGGAAATTCCAGATGGAGCACCCAACACAGCAGGAGAATTTAAAGGGCTACAGACTAGCATGGGGAACCTGGTGTCACTGGAACTGTTGCAATGGGAGCAGTCCTCCAGTTGCAAAGAACCAGCATGGAACAGTGGTGCCAATTCAGATCAGGAAGATGACAGGGGATATGTTCAAAGCCCTGCTCCATGCAGCTTGGCTCGTCTCAGTGTCTTGCACATCAGGCCTACAGACGTGACCAAGGTCTGTGGCTTTAACTGCTGGTGCTGCTTCCAAGGGGAAGGCTTATGCAAGGAAAGGCAGGATATTCAGTTCCCTGCTCAGCACACTCAGTCCCAGAACACAGGACTCCACTGGCCATTTAGTTTCTCCAGCCTCACTGCATCTGTTAGCATTTGCAAGAATGGAGAGGTAGAAGCTACCTGGAACACATCATCGTAATGGGCACTGAAGCAGTTTCTAAATCGGTTGAGTAGATCCCTCATATTCTTTAGTATCTCAGAGTATGGACTGGTGCTTTTGAATTCAATGTTATCAAGGATTATTCTCACTGGATCAAATGCCGCTTGGAGAAAACATTCAGGATCATTCTAGAAGGAAGCAAAGATAGGTGTCCACCATGGAAATACTGAAGGGTACTGTCAAAGTTGAGACTGTTGGCATCCACCATCATCAACTCCCCCTCCCAATCTGCTACATTTCCTTTTCGCTCTCTTTGCCTGATCATCTGCCCTCTACAAGCAAGTGAGCAGTGACAGGAGCACAAAGGAAGAACAACCTCTACTTGACACACTCTTCCTATGGGTGATAGCATGGACTGAATCCAAAGGGATCCCTGAAGATTCCTTCCCCCACTGTGACTGCATATTTGCCTAGGGCTCTGCAAAAGCTGAGACAAACAGGAGAAGTGTTCCAGTTTCCCTTTCGCTTTAAGACAGAAGGTTGTTCTGTTAGCCTGGATGGCTAACTCAGACCCATAGGAACTTGTACAACATCTTACAGGGAGTTAGGACTGGCAGGAAGATCAAGTCTGCCAAACCCATTGCGGGCAACGTAATTACAATCTCATCTATGCAGGGTTAAATTTTTAAATTCTCTGGACCATTGGCTTTTGAAGTGTGATTCAACTGGTGTTCCTCAGATGCTTCATTGAGAGGGTCTCCTCAATTTGGAGATCAGCAGTGGCAGATAGACTGGAAAGACTGCTCATTTACTAATACCTGTCTTTCTCAATCCTGCACAGCGGTAGGAGAGCAATGCATGTTCTGAAGTAATATTCTTAGCAGAAGCAGGGCAACAAGTGCAGCCCTGCAGGCTTAACCACTGCTCCTCATGAATTATGCCTCCCTTGTACTAGACCAGTTCCCCAGAACCTTCTGCCAAGGACAGACATTTTCAACAGATATGCAAGAGCTCCTCAGACAAGTCAATGATCTGTTCAGTAAAAACAGTACGCTTCCTTACATTAGCCTCTGACTTCTACATTCCTTTCTCATCTGGCATAGCATCCTTCCAAATCAAACCAGAGGCCCACTCCATGTCTGAACTTCATTTATTGCAACTATGAATAAGCCAGGATCTTAAACATAGTTTGATCCTGGCTTTTTGAACCAAATATAGCTTGAACTGAACCGACTACCTCCGAGTTCATATGCTAGCCAGGTTCACTAGAACTGGCAGCCCCCAGCCTCTGTACAGAGGGAAAGTAGGGAGTGTATGAGTCAGAGGCTATCCCTTACAACTGCTGCATGTAGCCTTGATGGCCACCAATTTCACTGGCTGTAAAAGGGCCTGGTCTTCTTCCATGAGACTGTTATCAATGGCTACTAGACCTAAAGACTACATGCAACCTCCAGTATACCAGAGGCAGCATGCCTATGTATGCCAGTTCCTGGAAAACACAACCAGGAAGGTGCTACTGCCCCCATGTACTACTTCTGGGTTCCCCACAGAGAGCTCAGTAGATCCAACATGGCTCATCACATGGTCCCATCTGTAAATATCTGCAGTAGAAAGGAATCTTCTGTTCAAAACCACTGCTCCAAAAATGACTGCCAATGCCAAACTAGCTGTCCCACATTCCCTACTCACCAGCTCTTTCTTGTCCACATACTGAATAGCTTGCTTGCAGGTGGTTTTCATCTGGCTATCATGCTGTAACAAAGCAAGGAAAAGTGTTGAGACTGAATGCCCCTAATGGACTCATTTTTTAAATCTAGGAGTTGACACTACTGGAATCCACACTATAGGGAATGTTCTAATGCTGCAGGAGAGGGGTTCTGAGCGTGCAGAGCAACACTCTGATGCTTATTTCCATGGACATCAAAAACACTTTACATTCCCCTCTTCACAAGCGCATGCACACTCAGCTAAACATGGATAAAGCAGATTACAGAGGAGGGGGACTTTTTTATGGAGTACTGTAGTGTGTACATTGCTAATTTCTGAGTGATAGTTGTGTGTGTGTGTGTGTGTGTGTGTGTGTGTGTGTGTGTGTGTGTGAGGGAGGGAGGGAGGGAGGGAGGGAGGGAGAGAAGCCATCCATAAAATAGTAGTCATTTTGAACAGGGAGGACAGGCTCTCCAAAGGCAGAGAAACAGGGCTGTTGCACCAAATCAGGCAGCGCACTGGCATAACCACTGTGCCAGCTATGAATTTCTCCTTGAAATAATTATCACTGAAACAAACAGGAGTTCAACACCTTTTCTTCCAGTGCGGGGCGGGCAAAGGTCAGAATCAGCCACTTTCTGTCTTTCAAGTCAAGTGCTGACTTGGCATTTCTGAACAAGAGCTTTATCAGAGATTTGGGTTTCATGCTGTTGGCAGAACAGAAACCGGGGAATGATTCACACTCTCCAAAGCAGGCCTACAGAGATGGGACTGCCAGGAAGGCATGTCCAGTCGGAAACAATCGCTTTATTGTCTGGACAGAGCCGTCGCCAGTGCAGAGTGGGAAAGGCAGGGGGCAAATTTCATGCATGTGAGACCAAGTTTAAATTGGAAATCCCAGTGAATATAGGCAGCGAAGAGCCTCACTTTCAGTTTTGGTTTTACCAGTTCTAACAAGAGCTGGTTTCCACTCTGCCAAGACTAAACAGGGCTTGGGATTCTACAGGCCTAAGAACAGCTTCTGCCAGCAGAACAACAGGCAGCTAAGCGGTCTAGTTGTTGGCAAGTGGCACAACATTTTGCTCTGCAGCCTGGGTTCAATGGGAAGACACTTAAAGGGGCAGCAGCAGAACAACCCCCCCATTTCCGGCACTTTGTAAATAAGAGCATACAACTTCCAGCAATTGCCTCCTAACACTTCAGAATCTGAATATCTATCTTCCTGTTATGTCTTCATTCTGGTTCCAGAATTAAGATAATTTTTCATTAAGAATTGCAAAGCACATCCGAGTAAGAGTAGCTTTGCAAAACATGAGAAAAAAAGAATGAACAACTAAAAGGAAAAAGCTCAGCACGCCAAGCAAAACTCTGCACTTCAACAAGCGAAAGTCAGCTTCTTAATCCCTAAGCAAATCAGTGCCAATCTCTGCTAAGCAAAAGGTAAGTAGGATAAGCATTGCAAGAAAACAGCTGCACATTTATTATTCATCACACCATATTTTTAAAAGTCATTTCCTGCATGTTTTAGGAATGTCCTATTGTTCAGGAATGTAAGAGGTTTTGAAGGTAATACTTATAATATTGGGTCATTCCCTGCTCTGAATATATGCATGGGGAGGAACACTTCCCCTCTGACTGCGAGGGCCATGTTCCAAGTTCTAAGAAACTGCATAGTACTGCCATGTATGAGAGACGGAGGGAGAAATACACTCCAACATATTTTCAGCTGGGAATTACTGAAGGTCTGGCTCCCAGTAAAATACATTTACTATATGCTAAAATATAGTTACAGCTGCAAAGTTAATAGTTACTAGATTTTATTCTAAAATAACAGGGCCCCTGTTGATAAATGTTCGTGTAATGTTTGACAAATGTTAGTATTAACTAAAAATGACTCACTATATTGGACTAAGAAGCAACCATGTGACATGCTATTTATTTAAGTTGGAAGATGTGTTATCACTCTCAGATGTGAGATAATACAAAGTTTTTGGAGCTACCTTGTGGTTTACACAACCTTTTGCAACACAACTTCTAACATTTCAGAACAGAAAATAGTGGCTTGCTTGTAACATCCCCAATCTTGTATATCAAGGCTCACATTGAGATCCAGCCTCTTACTATTGCATGCTGTTGAAGGCTTTTCACAGCCTGTCCGCAGCCACTGGCCTCCAGAGTTTTAAAATGGCAAGAAGAGAGCAATTCACTTTAATCCAAATAACATCTTACAAATATAGTGTGGTATTTCAATATGCCATGGTAACTAGTATTATTTACTGACACTGACAACTCACACTAACGTTGTTAATGAGGAATGCTGCAAGGACAAGGCAGGGATAGTGATTTAGCTGAGACAGTTTCCAGGAAATAGGACTGCCCAGAGATGTGAAGGTTGGGGAAGGGGGAATAAAGCAGAAAAAAATGGAGGGAAGGAATGGGAAAAGTTAGGAGAATCTCAGTTCTTTTCTGCTCTTTTACTCACCTGAATAAATGCATCTAGCTTATTTTCATTGACTATATTTTTTGCACAGGTCAAGTAATGGTGGCAGGTGAGAGACTCCATGCTGGTAGGAAAGAAACCTTAACATTTTTTTTTCCCCTGAGCAGATCACGCTTTTGTGCTGTGTGTGCACGTGTGCACATCCCCGGGTGGGGGTGGGGTGGAACAGGAGTGTTCTCACTTGCACCAACAGTATGCCTTGGAGACCCAGCACAATTTATAGACAGGGAGCTGGTTAGGATAGAAAATGCACAAGAGCGATGCTTCTGGCATGAGAAATGCTGCTTGAGCTGGCCACCCCCAGGAGCTCTAGCATCTGTCTCAGTGGTTTAACTAGCTGTGCGCTTCTTGCCTGTTCTAAAGGTGGCAGATCGCAGCAGCCTACCATTTGCAAGTCCAATTCTTCTTTTTCTTTTCAGGGCCTTGTAATTAAAACTACCACCCCAGGACCAAACGTCTTAATGGGCTTTAAAGCAGAACGAATACCAGTACAGAGAGATGTGAGGCCTGCTGCCAAGTATTTCTATGAAAAGCTGCTCGAAGTTGCAATTCAGACAGTACCTGTCATGCCTCACTGTAAGGTGGAACATACGTCTTGCCTATGGATGCCACCAACCATTATGCAGAGCAAGGACCGGCCATATGGACTAAACAGCTGGCATAGGTACTGGGGGTACAAGGGCCTCCAGCTTTGATCCCACCCTCTCCAACAGCTACCACAGGTCTGAGATGGACCAGAAGCCATACACTCCTTTTGTGTGATTGTCCCTTTGATGGTGGGTGGCAAGCCAGAGGTCTTCCTGCAGAGTAAACCTCCAGCAAGCCCCGTTCACAGGAACGTAGACAGCTGCCCTGGGCCAAGTCAGACTACTCACCCACCTGGCCCAGGATTGCCAGCAGTGAGGGGCACCTGCTGGGGATCAAGGAGCAGGTGCTCTCTCGCATTGAGCCACAGCCTCAGCCCTCAACCAGCAGTCCTACCAGAGATATCCCCTCTGCGGTGGCAGCTGTTAAGCTTTCAGGGGGCCTGAACCCGCCACTGCTGTCTCAGCTGTTGGTCCCACATACAGTCACATCTCCTACACATTGTAAGTTTCCACTTCTGTCTTCGCTACTAGCCTCTGGTAGCTAATTAACAGCTGTCCTCAGTTGTGGCAGTCTTTTGCACTCCTGAGACGAGTCAGAAGAAAGTCCACCGAAGGCTACAGGATTCTTTGCAAGCGAGATCAGAATCAGAATGCCTGCCAATTAGTCATGAGGATGACTCTTACATTGGAGACCTCCCAGTCACTAGCAATCAACAGACTCAAAAAAAAAAAAAACAAAAAAAACCATTGTGCTTCCGAAGTGTGGCAGCTTCAGATCACCCTGGCCTGCTCTTCCCATTGCTTTGCCCGACTGCCATATCCTATGCACTTCCTGCTGGAAAATTACGCATACTGCCTTCCCTTAGGAGTATCTGAGGAGCAGCATTCCCACAGCAGTGAGGGTTTATTAAGCCCTCATTACCTGCTCTGATGGACCCTGCCTTCAGCAGAGGCAGAAGCGATATGTCTACAGCAGCACTGCACCACCCGAGCTTCAGCTTGCAGGTCATTGCATATCCCAGTTGAAGTTCAGTTTAAGAAATCTGAACTGTGTAAACATTTCTTCCTTTGAGACTCTAGTTAATACCTCACATTTGTCTCCCTTTCTCGACCTTGCTTTAATTTCTGTCTTACTCATGCCCTTAGGGCAAAAAGGTATCTGAAGGAAGAGGCAAGCTACTGCTCAAAGCCTCAGGGCTGCAGGCTCCCCCAGGCTTCCTTTTGATCCAAACATGGGACCACAGAACACCAGCTTTGAACACACCAGAGGCGCTGGGAGCTGCATGCAGCTGCAGCAGTGACTGTGTCTATTTTGCAACTCTGTCCTCTGCCAGCAGCCGAACTGAAGTGCACAAGCAGGACCTGGCAAACGGACAGGACAGAACCATCTCCCCTCCCCCTGCCGGCTTCCAAAAGGGTAAAGGGAAGAAAAGTGGCTGGGGCTTCAGGAAACCACATGCCCCTCCCTGCAATTCACCTTGTGCAAATTAAACAAGTGCGTGCATTTACACAGGCAGCAGGACCCAGTGGGCTGTTCTTTTTCTTGTGTCGGAGCTTGAGTTCTCAGAAGAGACTTCTATACACACGCTTGTTTTGCCTCCTAGTTAGCATATTAATGTTCCCAGTGCTGCAGCTAGAGACACTGAGGTATCAATGAGCAAGTTCCCAAATCAAGTCTCCCCTTGGGTATGACCTCCGATAACCAGCTGTTACCCAGCACTCCCCCTGGCAAAATGCAGAGAATATGGATCCTACCTTACAAGTTTGTTGTAAGAATTACATGTGAGTGCTGAACACTTGAAAGCACAGGCCAGCTGCCAAGTAGTACTTCTATCTTTGCCTCATGTCAAGGTTTCCTTTCGGGTTCCACATCCCCTACCATCCCACATGCCATGCAGAAGAAAGGGGTTTGTCCTGAAGCAAATACTGGGGGAACTTACAGGAGCATACCATCTCATGGACTGGGCACCATTAACTCTTGCCTTTCAGAAAGGTAGCACTGCTCAGCCTGGGTGCATGAATAGGCTGCACAGATACCACCAAGAGAGGCACCACCTTGCCTAACCTAAGGTCCAAGCAATTCAGCACCTTGCCCATTCTTCCCCAAGGCCTTTCCCCTCCTGCTCCATGGGTCTATGAAGCAACTCACCATATGCATCAGGTCTTTCAGGTGCGTTGCCGTGATGAGCCGCTGACAGCCACGCTGTTCAACTTCATTGGCATAGCAGACTGCAGCAAGAAGCAAGACCAACACAATGGAGGAAAGCATGTTTTTCTGCACAGCAGCCAGGAAAGAAAAAGTGTCAGGATTAATTAAATATGGAAAAAGCTAGATCTCTCATATATCCCTCTGCCCCTTTAGACTGGAACTAGATCTCATTCCATTTCTACTCATTAGTCTAGGTCAACATTCAGCTGTAAACACCACATCCTAAACCCATTTATGCCTAGCTAGTTGAGAATTGACCTATTTTTAGATAAAACATAACACTGTTAGATTTATTCAACGTTTACAAAACTGCCCATTACTTTCTCCCCTGCAGTGGCTTACCACACATCAGCCTTCCAAGCCACAACTGCAGGAGGGTCACTCTCTCCTTTCCCCAGATAGTTAGCAGTAAAATCTTACTGTAGGAGAATTTGTGATAGTGGACATATCTGACAACCAGCTTCTTTTGGACAGAGGCTTAAAAGGTACAGCTGTAGCTTGTAGTTTTGAAAGTTTGGCTTTTTCTATTGGGAATGGGGAAGATACAGCTCTCCAGATGTTGTTGGACTGCAACTGCCACTATTTCTCACCATTATGGGCTATGGCGACTAAGGCTAACGGTGCTGCAATCCAAAAACATCTAGAAGACTGGATATGCTCTTTAAAATATTACACCAAATATTCCTTTCCAGTACTTCAACTTCTAGCATGTTCTTCCACTGTGTCTTCACTTCAGACCAGTTTGTGCCAGGAACAACGTATATCATCAAATAGCACATATGTAACTCTGGAACTTCCCCTGCCACCCAAAGACATTGCAGTTGGACAGTGCCTCCCAACTGTTTATGTAGTTTACACCATGTACTGCACCTGAGAAAGCACAACAGCGCTGCATACCAGGCGTCAGATTCCCCAAATGAATGTTGCAAATAACAGAGACATCCAAACACAGGAACCCCTTTTCAGAAGGTTCTGAAGAGTTAAATCTGACTTGCTAACATTCCTTTCCCATTTTCTCCCGCTCCCAATGTTCTTATTAGGAAAAAGAGAGGTCAGCTGAGTAGCCAAGCTGGGAATTTCCCAATTCTTTAGTGCTCAGCTGGCATGCAGATTTAGCTGCAAACTCCTTTGCCAGCCTGTAACAGTGTTCTTCTTTCCCCCCGTTTCAACCAGGTAAGTCTCTGTGTAGAAGCAAACAGTCAGAATTGAGGTGTTTTTCTACCCCAGATTCTGCCACAATTAAACAGCCTTCCCCTCCTCATCTTTCTCTTCCTCTCTTTTCAGCATGGTCATAGCACTTTGGTTTTACCCTTCTTTTTCCTTCAGTCTCTTCCACTCCACCCATTTCCTTTTTCCAAGCAGATTGCGACCATCGTCTCCAGCCTGGAATTCCCCCCTGCTTTTGCTGTACTGCTGTTTCATCAAAATCCAGAGTGCAGAGGCCAAGAATCAGGATTTATCTTTTGTTCCTTCTATAAAGCTTTAACTTCTAAAAGTTACTGCTGTGAAGCACCACCAAGGCTGCCCTTTAAGCAGGATGTGAAATGGTTTTAGGCAAGTGGGCAGAACTATCAGGCTGTCAATTGGGAAATACCAGAAGAGGCCCCTGAGGTCAAGGGGTCAACAATGTTCCTCGAGGTAGTTCTGCAGGCAGAACATGCGCTCCCTTGCATCATTCCCCCAAGGCAGTCAGCATTGGCCATTGCTGGGGATGAGAAAATTAGTTGGACAATCTAGATTTTGCCACTACAATAGGAACCAGGCATTCAGCGTTCATTTGCAGAAGAACCCTTGCAAAACAAGTACTTGGGATACCTCCCAGACAAAGCACTGACTGCCTTCTCCTACATGAACTAGCCTGAATGTTGAAGTTTCCCTCCTCGGAGCAATCCTGCCATTCCAGGAGGTGGGTGATGACTGGGGACAGCCAGTGCAGTTTCAGGGCTTCCTGCCCTGAGAGGTTTGCCTGAGACTAAATGATGCCAGGATGGACCGAAAATTCATGTTCTCAAATTCTTATTGCTGTACCATAGTGAGGAATATGCATTATCCATAAATCCTTCTAAATGCAGTACAGGAAAAACTCTTCATAGCAGAAGGTGTTCTGCTTACTGTTTGGTCAGTAAAATATATTGACAGAAGATCTGTAAGTGCCTTCAGCAGTCTGTACACCATCCTTTTTAAAAAACCACGTAGCAGGATACCTTTATTAGCTTAACTCAAACATCACAAGAAATGCAAAAATGTGCAAGCTTTCAAAAACCTCTGGAGCTGTTCAGCATTAAGCCATTCCAAAGCCACCCCCCCCCGCCCCACAGGTTGGTGGGTGGGGTCAGGGAAACAAAGGGGTGGGCAGGAGGCTGGCTAGGATGTCTACATGGCCAGAGTATTATAACAACATGAAAAAGGAAGAATTGCAAGCATTCAAATTGGGTTCTGCCAGGAGGTGTGATGATTTCAGTGCCAAGACCTCCTCCCCACCTCATCCTAAGAGTCTGGTCATGCAGACATCTGGACTGCATGGAGTCGGGCCCCTGCACAGCCTTGCTTCTGCCACCCTAGTGACTGGTCTACTTTTTAAACCATTTTGCTGGATGAACTTATCTGAAGATCCTAACAGCTTGCAGAGGTTTTCTTCTTCTTTTCTTCTCCTTTTTTTTCTTGGTGATCTTTTGCATTGGGCTAATAAAGGTATTATGCTTTGCAGATTTTGGAACTGTTGATACCTCACTTTTTGCATCATTTTTGTGTTCTAGAAACAGCTGTAAAACCTCAAGCCACCCTAGAGTGCAACTGTGCCTTCCAGTTCTTACTCTATTCTCCTCTTGCCCTCTTCCTTTGGTTAGCCTGCCTATTTACTCTTCTGCTCAAGCATACAGTAATCATGCCTTTGCATGTTTACAGTCCTTTTCTTTGGCAATGGCATTCTGAAATTCTCAGCTTTCCCCCAAACTCATATGGCTGCCATAGCAAACAGTAGCAAAGGGCAGTGCCTGGCAAAGCTGGGAATCCCCCTAAAAGCACCTTATATGCCCATCCCATATTCATTGGGCATGCAAAGAGCCAGTGAAGGAGAAAAGGCAAAAAAGAAAGACTTAGTTTATTGCTCAAAGTATTTGGGCTGATCTTCTATGTAAGAAAGTGTGTACAGTTTAAATAATGGTAATTTCTATACCATTTCAATATTAAAGAGTGCTCAACCCTTATCTTGTTCTGTGTAATAGCTTACAAAGAAGGGATATTTGCATTTTAAAGATTTGTAACAGAGATAGAGATCTAATTCACAACACAGGAAAAAGCCTGCCAGGGCCCTCTTGTGAGTCCAGCCCTCTGAACAGGAATTCCTGCTACAGAGGGATACTGTGCAGTTAATTAGGAGCAAGTGAATGAACTCCATAGATGCTTAAATGCATTCTTAGTTTGGGGTTCAAATTAAGAAGTCTTCTCTAGACAGGAGCATAGCAAGTTCACCAAAATAAAGCAGAGAGCCTTCAGGCCCTGGTCTCAGTGGAACAGCTCCATGTCGCCCTGAAAGTTTTTCCACTGGGATGTTAAAAAAGGGAGGGTTCTGGGTAGCCTCCAAGCTTGCATGCCCCAGGCTACCAGCAATCCAACAGGCGGCCATAGTTCTCTCTTCTCTGAAATCATGTGCGCGGCTCCACAAGAGCTAGTATTTACACTGCTGATGCTATACGTCTGCGATTGGCTGCACCCTTGATAACATTAATATAAAGTTTGGTAAAGTAAACCAAGAGCGGTGGATTACTCAGGGCTACATTTCCATGCACATTCACTTGGGAGTGAACTGCACTGAACTCGGTGGGCCTTACTTCTGAGTTCACATGCAGGGTCTCACATTTCAACCTAGCTTGCTACGTCTGGAAAGTGACAGAAGAGGGCGTGAAAAGGGGGGGGGGGGAGAGAGAGAAGAGGATGCGCAGAGCCTGATGCCGACGGCAGGCAAAGGAGAAGGCGGGGTGCTCGCCTCGAAGCAGAAAGGCAAAGGGCGCCTGGGAGCAAAGGTGGCCCGCGGGCGCGTGCCAGCGCGGTGCGGCATCTCGTGCAGGGCTTGTTAAGGCAAAGCACTTGGGTCCCTCTTGCACACGCACAGGGGCAGTCCTGTGCACACTTACTTAGAAGTAACTCCTACCACAGACATTGTGAAAGCGCCGAGTTGTCACAAGGGGTGGGGTGGGGAGGGAAGGTTCCATGGCTGCACTTCCAAGCATATCTTCCTTCCGAGAAAGCGCCGATCGCCAAAGCAATCGGATTCTTACATCTTGATCAACAGACCGAGTCGAGAAGACAGCTTCAACCCTCGCTAAGCAAAGGTACAAAATACCACATCGGCTTAACTAAGCGGCTCCGAGAACCGAGGGGCGCTGACAGTAGGGAAGGGACTCGGTCCAAGCTCTGCGGGTAAGCAGTACCGCAAGAGGCTCTTACCTTTGCTGGTACTACTCCGAGGACAGCCAAATCCGTAGGCTCTAAGTCCAGGTTTGCGAAGTGGAGGAGGAGGAGGAGGAGGGGCAGCGGACGGACTCGCCTTTCTTCTGCACACTTGATCCTGCTCGCAAGCGGCCGGCGAAGAGAGCAGGGACTATCACTTTGCGCAAAGTCCAACACAGACAAGCTACTTCGTCCGCCGCTGCCGCCTCACTCACTGCTGGCTGCCTCGTCTGGCGGCCTTATAAGTCTGCCGCGAGCATGTGGTTTACGGGAAACGGGCTTGGACCGACGCCAGTTTGTGTCTTGCGCGATCTCTCGGGCTCCCCCCGCTTTTGTGTTGCCTGCCCAACTTTGTGGCGGAAATCTGAAAATTAACGAAGGCTTTTCTCGGCTATCTTCCGTTCCTCCTTATATGACGGGCTTCATCAACGGGCGCGTGTTCACCTGGCAAAGTTCTTGCTCCTCCCAGTGAAACTCCCGGGCAATCCCGAAGCTGGGGTTAGAAAGCAAACGCAGCAGCGCAGCAGCGAGAGCCATTTGCAAAGCCTGTCTGTATGGGCCAGAGCAGGATTTGGCCCTTGGAGACCAGTACTGCGAGCACAGGCGTGTCCCCGTTGAAACGTGTTCCATTTAATTCAATGGGACTTGATCCAACCAAGGATTGTGTAGAATGCGTTGGAACCCAGAAAGGTGTAGGCAGAATCCCCGTAGAGTCAAATCTTTGCTTGTATTGGTATGAGCAAGGTGTGCTTTCTTGTGCTGGGACTGCAGTCTTATACATGCTTACGTGGTAGTAAGTCCCATAGAATAGAGTGGGACTTATTTCTGTTAATCTAGGCATAGGATTGTGCTGTCAATTACTGAACAGCAAAAGTAAGACTCATAGTGGCCTATTGCACAGGGAGTTTGCATGGGTAAAATATAATGCACTGCTTTTGCAATCTTTGAAAACTCCTATATAAACCCACCAAGTAGATAAAAATGCAGGAATGTGGAATTCCCCCATCACCTTCTCGAATTTCTCCACTATCAGTTCGCTGCTGTGTCCGCTGCACTGTCCAAGCACCTTGTTACCCCCTGCCCCCTCCTTCCACCTAAGCTAGGGGCAGAGTGCACATGGCCTCACACCAGGCCCTCTCAGTGGATGAAATATGAACAAGTGAAAGGCACAGAATGGACCAGGATGTGCACTTGCTAAACTTGTGCAAGCTCAGTGGGCTGGTTCACACAATCATTTCAGCCCACCATGGCTTCTTTAAGATACAGTGGGTTGCAGCATGTGCTGGCAGCCAGTGTGAATTGTCAAGCGATGGTGGATGGTTGCCATGCCTTGTCATGATCCAAACACAGCAGGTTTGGATTGTTATAGTCAAACCACCCGCAATTGTAGAATCGGACATGGGTTGCAAACTGGGTCAATGGCTCCATTCAGACAATACAGTAGCCCACAGCAAGGGTTGAGTGTGGGTTGTCATTAAACTGTAGCTCATTGTTGAAATGCGGGCTTATCCTGTTGTCTAAACCCAGCCAAAATAACAAACCACAGTGAACAACATCCAATTCATAAGCCAACAAGAAATCATAGGTGGCTCATGGTTAACAAGCTGTAGTTTGTTTCATGGCTGGGTTCAGACAACAGGATGACCCATGTTTCAATCCACACTCAAGCCATATCAAAGATCTGAGTGTGTGTTATTGTCTTGTCAGAACTGAGCAGGGTGGTGGCTGCCTTTTCCCCACATTAAATATTTTCTGAAAGATAGACACAGCAGCCACTCTTAAGGGAAAATACTTGATTATGCCAAAGACAGTTGTGACTTGCACAAATCACTGTTGTGTGAGTGAAGGAACAGAAAGGAAGGAAGACTCTGAAGGAGAGGGTTGGAAGAGCCACAGAAACATATATGGCAGCGAGACAGAAGCTCAATCCTGGGGACAAAACCTAGCTCTCTGAGGTTCCTGGGAGGGTCACATCCATCTTCTCCATTGTCCATTGGATCTGTGGATGCCTGTGGAGACATTGTCAATTTCCTGGCTTTCCTGTAGTTCTCCTCCAATTCTAAAAGGTTGAAATGCTTCCCCTAAGGCATTGCAACTGGCAGGAAGAACTTTTGGGAGAACATTTTAGCCCTGTCCCTTTTGCCTTTAGCCAGCCCACCACTGTAAGTTTCTTCAAAATGGAATCTAGTCCTTGGGCCGAAAAAGAGCCAGAGTCACAGTCACAGATATAAGAGAAAGCGCAGCAGTTGCCAAGGGAGAGAGGAGAGGTCTGTCTGAGCCTTCTCAGCAGGGGTGCTGAAAGTCCCCTCCTGCCTCCACTCCTGCCAAGACATATTGCCCCCCAGGTGTGGTGATCACCTTTACTCAACAGCTGGTTTTCTTCTGGGTAACTTTCTAAATTGTATTCTAATTCAAGGCGATTAGTGGCACTGTCTCTTTAAAATCACAAGAAAGCAGAAGACAGTGCTGGATATTTTTAGAACTATTTGGAACGTGCAGGCAACTGAGTAATTTGACTGAGTGTAGCCAGACCCATAAGTGGGTGCTTCTATGAATATTGCCATTGTGGCATTTTGTTATATCTGTAAACTCTGACACCTCTCTTAGAAATAATAGCTTTCCATTTATTTCTTTTAATTTATTGCAGATGAATAAAATTGAAACTTTAAATGCCCTAATTGGTTATTTTTTATTTTCATGTTCCAATGAAAATAATACATGATGTGTATTCTTAATGTAAATATCTATTTTTATTTTTTTAATTGAAAAGGCAGTAAAATCAAATTTTAAATGATTGTGTAACTTGTTGTGTTCCAGAGGTTTGAGGTAGGTGAGTTGGTTTGTTTCTTCAGCAAACTGGCAGAACTGATTTTTCCTAAGTTCAACTCAGGAAGGAAAAAAAGGGTAATTTTAGCAGAATATGGTGAATGCTACATTACTCAAATTATGTTACATTGATATAAATCCCTAGGGCTCCCATTTATGTGGGAGTAAAATCCACTCAGTGGGAGTTGTTCTTCAGTGAAGAACTTGCAGGACTGCACTGTAACGTTATTACTGTTATAGTTAGATTCTAAATTAATTGTTAAACTGGAATTTTATGTTGGCTCTTCCATATTTTAGGGAAATGTACGAGCTCACTTTGACACATTCAGTTTTTAGAGTAATAAAGGTTTTATTGTTGTACAACAACAACAATTAATGCAGTTTTGCTTGCACATGCACTTTATTTTCTCTAGTAGACTGAGGTCATATTTTTGTGGGCCTGTAAGAGTAGTTTTTTTGTGAACTGCCTCATTGTTTCCCTTTAGCTTTGTATTGCAAAATCTGCACATGGGTGCAAACTCATAAACCCAAACATTTTCCTTCCATAGCAACTTCACCCATGTATAGCAGTCATGCATGCAAATGACACACTCATTCTTCAATCATGCTATGGACTGTGTCAGTCTGGCATAGGACTTCCAGCAGTGGCAAACATGAGAAGTAGTAATACGCATGGCTTTGATAATACCAAGAATTACGGTATCGTTGGCCCTGGTATTCATGAACTGAAAGAATGCGGGGAAGGGAAAAGGGTGAATTCACATCACGGCATGTATGTATCACAGCTCTTGGGTTTTAAACAGCTGCAGCAGTATTAAAGGAATTGTGAAACTTTTTATGCTCCAGGAGTATGAGGAACCGAGGTGCGTGATTTTGATTCTGCAGCAAACTAGTAGAACAAACTGAACATCAACCGTGGCTCTCATTTGCTGGGTATGCTTGGCTGTGCAGCTCGTGATATTAATGCTGGCTACCAGCCCGTATGCCAGTACTGAGTAAGATGATTGCAGCTTGTGAGGAATAGGTCACAAGAAGCTTGCTGCTGCTTTGTTTATGATAATAGTTTCATCCAAATACAAATGAAAGTGACTGTTTCATGTAGCATCCAGAAAAACATCTCATTCTTCCCATGTTTCTTAACTCGGAAAGGCTTGCCAATGGTATGGGCAGGTGTACTCTGCAGGGGCAGACAGTGGTAAAGATGTGTGCATTGGGCCTCCATCAGATTAGGAGATGAGCGTATCCTCTTTGCAGACGGATTATTTCAATGACAGTACAGGAAACTTCTAATTTCATTTTGTTTCTTTGACTGAATACACATTGTATTATTTATACGTAATAAAATACAGATCCTACTTGTTGTTTTCCCCATTTCAAGAATCTTCTGCAAAGAAGAAAAACCCAAATGCACCAAAAGGTTTTTTATTACGACTGAATACACAACATGTGGTTGAATATCTTGAGAAATAGAAAGGACTGCTTAACGTAGTAGTCTTCATTTCCATTATGGGAAGTACCATGGTGAGAGCAACAGCTGCAAGGGTGTTTGGGTGGTTACAAGGAAGGAGATGGGTTTCATTGTCACCAACCTTTATGTCTCACTCAGCATCAGCTGAGTTGATGTAATGACAGGGAAAGAGGGTGCAGGGAGAGAAAAGAAAGAGATGACCGAATTTACAAAGAAGGGAAAATATGAACTAATGATTTCATTTTGAAAACACTGACTAATTTTAATGTAAAGGACAGCTGTGATGTCAGATGCCACATGGTCCGTAGGCTGCACAAGGCCTGTGGTTCAAACTGAGCTTTAAGTACTTTCTGGAGCATATGGATGGACCTCAAGATTCTCTGCCAATGGTACATGCCAAGCAAGAGACAGTGACAGAATGTAGTATGAAATGCCTGTCTGTCTGTCTCTCTGCAATGGTAAAGCTGTGAAAACCTGTAATTGGTCCGTCCGTACTATGAAGCTAAGCCTATTCCTTGCTTGCATTTGCACGGTTTCAGCATGTCAGAGCATTGATTTGGATGAGTTGACATTGTTACATGTTTTCAATTAGAACTGAGACTGGTTTCAGCTGGCACTATTGCTGCCCTTCCTGCTACTTGTTTCTTCACAGCTTGTGGTCCCATGTCAGATGCAGACAGATATTGGATGCAGGTTTTGAACATCACCTGCAGAGCCTTCAACATAAGAATAGTTCTACTGTTCCTGAGCAGTGTGTTGGGGCTGACACTCTTCTCTTAAAAAAATGCCCGTTAGTCTCTTGTTTCATGGATGTGAGTATGGCATTATTTATTTGACTGACATTATATACAAATTATCACACTGCAGTAAAAGTAACAAATTAAAGCACAGCAATGTTATGCACTAGCGTGCAAAATAAACAGTTCAAACAGAAGAATTTTTTTTTAAAAAAAATGAAGAACTGGATCAATTTGAGAGTGTGAGAGTGAGCAAAGGGATAAAAGGCCATATGGATATACAATATTGAAAACAGAACATTGTTTCAAAATCATGGAAAAATAAAGCAGGCTTTGCCTGGTACCGTCAGGAGCATGTCAGGGAGGGAATCCCACAGCTGGAGGCCCACGCCTAAAAAAATCGTTTGTCATGGGGCCATTGACCACCAGGTGGAGCACTTGCAAAAGTGCCTCAGATGATGATGTCAGAGTTCAAGCTGGTGTTTAGGAGAGCTGATCTTTCAGACAGTGATATGAAGGGATTGGAGTGAAGGGTTTGACCAAGACTTTCAGTGGCTACTACCAGTAATCATGATTGCTATATACACACAGTATCTGAGATGGTGTGCCTGCCTCCTCAGAAATCACTGAATCATTGGTCCTTTCATGGGGAACAAATGGTCCTGCAAAAGTGTGTGTGTGCAGGATTTATGGCTCATCTGGAATTTCAAGTGGTATAGAATACAAATGTTAATGAACATACCTTAGTTCAATAATGCAAGTTTTTCTTTCTGGAATTCTGCTTTAATAATACAAGGAAGGATTATATGAGTCTTGTTCATCTTACAAAACTGGCTAAATAATGGGCTGTTGGTGGGTACTGGCAATGATCCAGGAGAGACTAGTTCATTTTTTAGCAGAAAGAAACCACACATCTGTGTGCGCACCTGAGAGTGGGACAATGGCTTTGTGTATGAAGTGCATACTGCCTTTTGTTTTAAAGAATTGCATATAGATCTCTGAATGGAAATTAGTTGTGTCATCATGCACACGAGTGTATACACACAGTTGGGAGGGAGGGGAAGCTTCAAACAGCACCTCAGAGTAGTTTGGTTTGGATCTCAGAAGGATGGTGCTGATTATCTATCTGGCTCTCTATATTAGAGTTACTAACTTGATAGAAATATTAAAGTTTTCAACTTCCTCCTCCTCCTCCTTTGATAGGAATCAAAGGATCCTGTAGCCACGGTGGCAATTAATAGAATAGAATGATCCAAGGTGCAGCATTCGCTGTGGATGAGTGGTGTCAGGTGGGCTCTAGGTCAAGATCATGAGTTGCAAAGGTGCCAAGACTAGATATCCAGAAGTTGTTTTTAGTGTTCTTGGTTCAAATGGCATTTCTGTTGATGAATCAGATAGGTTTTGATTTCCTGAACTCAAGAGTCCTTTGCAATTAGTTGTTTCAATTTTTTGGATTAAGTCTGCAGATTTGCAGTTCCTGAAAATTGTGCTTAGAATTGTCGTCTTCCTTAGCTACTGGATATTATATCCTAAGTGTTTGCATTCAACCATATAAAAGGCATTGCATGCTCTGCTGGTGATGTTTTGTCTGTGGCACTAAGTGCTGTTACACATCCGGATCTCGAAGGTAACTGTCTCCCTAAAATAAACACAGGTGATAGATTCTCAAATATGTGATTCAGGATTGCTGGTAGGAAATTTGAGAACATCTGTCACTAGGAATCTTCATAAATTCAGGGTCTGGGAGAAAGTTATAACTAAAGGTTTACTGATTGCTTTAGCAAATATATAGAAAGAGGCAGCCAAGTTGATCATATGATAAAAATCCAAAATCTATTTTAGTATAATCCCATTTCTAGTTCAAATTTACATGTATTCAATATCTCCAAGTCTCCTTATCAAGCAAGATATTATGTAAAGCATCATGGCAAGGGGAGTTGGAAAGCTGACTTGACATTCTGCACAGTCAGAGCTAAATCAGACCTAGCTTAACAAATCAAGGATCTACAGTTCTCTGCTACTTTGCATTCTGAGGGATCCCTGAAGTGCTGAAACCTGAAACTGGCACATCACTTGGAGAGACCATGTTTGCCAACACCTCCATATTATCATCTCCATATTACCTGAAAAAGCTGGCTCTGCACATTTTGTGACTTTAGCATCAGTTCAGCCCCTCCCCCTCTTCCTGTCTGTCTCTCTTTCTCATTCACACACACACACAAATCCCCCTTGCTGATTTGAGGTGAACCTTTGTAAATAGATAAATGTGTACCAACTATTATTTTTTAAAAGGACATTAATATATCTTCTTTTCAAGAAACACTTGTAAACATCATATTTCACCGCTGGAGAGACCAGACAGTCTTTCTGGGAAGCAGCTGTTACTAGAGCCAGCAATTGTGGGGCAAGTGTGGATCTCACGAAAATACATTCCTTCTCTAGTGTACCAATTCTCACTCAGGGCTGGGAAGTCTGCAGTCCAGTGGAGACGAGAAAGCCCCCCAAGACGAGCTGCTGGGGTGAGGGAAGAGAGCTCCACTTGGCAGAGAAGCCAGCAGCAGCCTGCCCTTTCTTGGCCTGCCTGCCTAATTGATTCCGTGTGTGGGTCAGAGTGTTGCACGCCATGTGGGTGTGGTGATATTTGTTGCCTGTGGAGAGCAGAGGAACCCGATGGTCTGGTGGAGAGCAAGGCAGCAGTGCTCTGCACCAGAAAAACTGTCTGGGGCCATGGCAACATGAGGGAATTTTTGCATGGCTACCTTTATATATTTATTTCTTACAGCAGAGTCTGTAATCTCTCTGTCATATCCTTGCAACAACCCTGTGATACAGATGAGGTGGCGAGTCAGTGACTGGCCCAAAGCCATGCACAGAGCTTCGCAGCTGACAGGGAAGCCGCAGACAAATGGCCAGCGCTGGGGAAAGAAGGGTTGTTTCTTGTATTACTGCTTTATTACACATGTGTACCACTTAA